CCTGTTTTCAAAATAACTCGCTATCGTTTCACAATACGTGCAGCATCATTACTAATACATTACCATCCCCATAGGAGATCTTAGCGACGAAAATATATACTGAAAATGTTACGGAGATCAAAGACCAACTCGGATAATGACTAATTATTTCGACACCATAACCAATTAGTTCTCTCAAAATGATCGTTGTCTGACGAAATAATGTCAAATTATTGAAATCCCTGGTTTCAAAATAATTCCTTATCGTTTCAGAATAATAATTGCAACATCATTACCATCCCTATTAGAGATATCAGGAAAGAAGAGGAGCACGATCGATGTCTGACGAAATAATGTCAAATGATTGAAATCCCTGTTTTCAAAATAATTCCATTTCGTCTCACAATAATTATGTGTAACATCATTACCATCCCCATAAGAAATATCACCGACGGAGATTATACTGAAAATGCTACGGAGATCAAAGATCGAACACCCACGTCATATTGTATCTTCATTATTGATATAAACATCATTTGTGTATACAATATACATTTCATCCTGCTTCAGGTAAAATAACAACACTGGTCTTATAATAGCAGAAATAGTAATCGAAGAACTAATTCTTTTTATATCCTCTTCGCTCCTACTGTTATCGAGGTCACACAATCTCTAAACACACTGTCTTTATATCGATCTTACATTAATATATCTCTACAATAATTGTTTAACACTTTCAAAGTCGCTACAAACTGCAATTACTCCAAATATATCAAAATGTAGCGTTTTAAGATTTAGACCTAGCAATAAACACATTACACTTTTGTAATAATTAGTGCATACATTATGGCTATAACCAGCAACTTGAAGTAATTAGTCCCAAGTGAAAATTAGAGGTTAAAAACCATTGGATTTCGATGTATTCATGAATTAATATGACCCTTTTTTCATGCATAGTACTTTTTTGTTCATTTATGCCGTAATACTTTTTTTCCTGCAACAAAAAGAAAAATCTTCTCGAAATGGAACTTTGTGGTGATCTTTGCTTTTCCTTGAGGCCTCCAAAATTACTTGGTTGATGATTTGAAACGGATTAGAAGCGCCTGATTTGCTCTCCTGTTGCTACACTCTTCTTGATAATTAACCGCATTATATGACTGACAACAGTTACTAACCATGCCACGCGCGGCGGGGCTAGCGGTGTGCCAATGTTTTGGGACCAACTACCGAGCCTGGTCCAGGACCAACAGTGTCCCTCGACCATCTTGATGAGACCAACTGCTGAGTTTGGTCTGAGACTATCTAAGACTCAAGACAAGGTGCATCCGTCACTCAAGGCCGGTACAAAAATATCAATGCCAAATTAAGAAAATGTTATTGTTCGAATAGACCTGCGGTTCTATCTATCTTATTATTCAACTTTCTCATTTCTTTCAAGTTAAGAATGTAAATGAATCTTCCCAATACAGTATTTGGTAGTGCATCCATTAGATACGTTTTTTCGTATACATTTCACTATTTCGCGTAGGAATAATGGATACCAAATTGTCTTTTTACAATAAATTATGCTGTAGGCCTTTGAAAGTTACTGTAAGAATAATACCATATATTGGTTTTATATACTTCTCTTATTAGTGTACGTCTATATAGTACTCAGTAAAGGCATTCGTGCTGTGCGGTCAACAGACCATCGCAATTCTCTATTCTGTATTCTGTCTGTGACAATGGCACATGAGTTTGTGACCGACAAAGGAGACTGAATAATTGGAACAATTTTTGGCAATCTGACTTCAGAGTCAGAACACACACGGAGAAAATTTCCCTAAATCTTCTACACAAGAACCGCTATTGTTGATATTGAATGCTAATGGTTAAAAGCAAAAAAAGAAAAGAGAAAAGAAATACCGCAAAGTTATTCAACTGTATCATTCTATAGAAGTGTCCTTACTTCTGTGTGCTAACAAACGGAAGGATTTTCCTTGAAACTCAAAATCAATTTTGGTGCCTTTGAGAGATCTGTCCAGAAACAAGCTTCACTGTAGCCATACAATTTTCTGGATGTCTATTTCATTGTGACAATGTAATATCACAGCATATTGAAATGTCTTCAGTTATTAGAATTCATGACTGTGTACAAGGAGTATCAACGGATTCCCCCGTGTACGATTTTTCCATTTAAATCATTTTTTTAAAGAAACTAACAGTGACACATTAGATACCCAGTGGCAGTGTTAAACATCAATTGAGGCACATGTTGCAATGGAGCCAAACACTGCTACCATTCATAAAAAAGAACGAGAGAGAAAAGAAGAAGGATAGAGTATGAAAAGGCCATTCCAGAATCATGACTGTACTCCGGCGTAAGTCTGGTGTCCTCATACTTATAGCCGATTTCGCGGAAACGCCGGGCGGGCTCAAATCCCTTGAGTGGCCAACACAAAAGCACGCTGAACAGTGAAGGTCTCAATCTAAAACTTGGTCTACGGTAATCGGTTACCATACGAAGGGCATGGACCTACTGCATTTAAGTCAATTGCATATAGGGACTTAATTGTGGCATAGAAGATTATAGTAATTTTTAGCTTAAAATATTTCAATTTTCAGACACTACATTGCGGTAGCCGCGATACATGACTAAACAAAAGCGGAAACTGCTATTATTAATGCGCTTTATCTTTGTGACTTACACGATATAAATTATAGTAACAAATACTCTATAGATTTACTTGTGTTCTAATCAACCTGCGTTTATGATTTGATAGACGTTTAGCTTGGTATTCAACTCTTTAAATATGTTTTGGCGGTTTACCGTTTAATGTCGAGATCGAATTAATTATCACATTTGTAACACTCGTGGTAGAATGTTGGTATGATCGGACAGGTTTGAATTAAACGTAAAACGTTAGAAAGTATAACATAGAGTTGAATGGTGATTGAGTATCAATCTATCGACAATTTAGAATTGATTTATTGTTTTGTTTGTGTCACAATCTATATAATATGTAACTTATATATTTTTAATACGTAACTAATTTAGAAAGTATAAAATATAGTTGAATGGTGATTGAGTATAAATCTATCGACAATATAGAAATGATTTATTGTTTTGTTTGTGTCACAATCGATACAATATATAACTTATTTAATTTTAATACGTAACTAATTTTAACAGTATAAAATAGAGTTGAATGGTGATTGAGCATCAATCTATCGACAATTTAGAAATGATTTATTGTTTTGTTTGTGTCGCAATCGATATAATATGTAACTTATTTGATTTTAATACGTAACTTATTTTATAATATGTTTTAATTAATTGCTTTCTGCATGCATCACCATCCTGAACGGAGTTTTCAATCTTGAGAAGCAATACAAATAAATACAAAAATATATTTGTCAAACCATCAAATAAAATTGGAATTAAGAAGTATTACGTTGTAAATAAACAGAATATTAATTTATAAAAACAATTAAGACTACTGGACAACTTTCTAAACTAACTTCTACGAATTGTCTCTAAAAATACAGGCCTGTATATTGAGCTTACACTTTTCTTTTCATCGAGAGCGGACTCAAAAAAAGCAAAATCATCTGATATCGTTCGATTAGTTTTTTTTTGTTTTTTTTTGTTTTTACATATGAGAAGAAGTTCTCATGTCCTTTTTTGTCGGTCATCTAATTAGGCTTTTAATATTCATAGATATATATGAAAATGAAAGAAGATTAATATGCCAAAAAATCCAGGAGTCAAAACTTTCCAGTCCATAAACAGGAATGGGATGTTTTATCATGTGGTCATAAGCACGCATACCATGTGATCCAAAACAACTTTTTAAAATGTAGAAAATATGAAGAAAAACCCAATCATGACTTTGAGAAAAGGAGGATCTCTCAGCCAACAGCGGAAGTGCCACTGCCGTTTACTTCCGGTTCATGCAGGGTGGGTGAACCAATGTTATTTATTGTTAATTATTGTTTTGTCTGCTGACTATGCTTTCAGGCGAAAGTGAAATATCCTATTTTGTTATTTATTTGTTTCTTATTAATTAATTGAAATGAAGGGTGGATTTTTTTTTCTTCATTTGAGTTTCACTTCATGAGAACACTATCGCATTCAAAAGGAAATTAAACAGGTAAACATTGATAATAAATATGGTCTTTATTATTTCTTTTTCATTATTCAGTCTCGTTGACGGTTGAAACTAGTTTCATGAAGCAGGTCCGTATATACTATGACGCGAATTTTATTGTGAAGATCAAAAAGAAAGACATTCATTTTCAGGGATATAACTCTCTGTTTTTGTTGTTGTTTGTCAGTTATTTTTCTCTCTCTCAAAACGTTCACAGACAAATTTTCCTTATTGCTATGATTTCTTTTACTTTATCTTGCAATTCAAAATTAAGTTCCCTTCAAATTTTGACCGATATTTTTATGATTGGATTTTTTTCTCGAAAAATAGTTATAACAAAAATCTGCTTTCATTACAGTCAATATTAAAATACATCTTGTATAGTCATTGATAGACAATTATATATATTTTTTTTAATACGGAATTTAACGATTATGCATTGAGCTATTTCCGTTTTAGATATTATATGACAAACGTTTCATGCACGTTATTGCTTAACTAGAAATGGATTATGCCACACACATAACATTTTACCTAACTTTACCACACATCACTTCCAGAAACATGTATATAATAATCATTATACACTTATTTTGCACTTCAGTCAATGGATGGTTGCGATATGAATTAAGTACCTGCATCTGCATTGAGAGTATGAAGATGCGTTCCCTATGGTACATGTATTCATAAAACACTTTAATTTGCCATTTTACATGTTTATTCGTTCAATCACTCAAAAAAATCACCAGAAAATGATCACAACTTACTTGTGTGGATCCCCAAGATGCGTTCACTATGGTACATGAATTCATAAAGCACTTCAATTTGCCATTTTACATGTTTATTCGTTCAATCACTCAAAAAAATCACGAGAAAATGATCATAACTTACTTGTGTGGATAGCCCAAGCTCTGAACAGGCAGGCGTCCTTGTCCCGACTCCACCCGTGCCTTGCCGCGTGTTTCCACGGGATCTTCACAATCTGCCTTTCCTTGTCAATCCAATGCAATCCCTGAATAGCCTGGGTCTCAATCATCTTCCTGAGCCATTCCCGTAGCCGAAGTCGTTCTGCAGGTCGTACAATTCGACTCGACGACGATGCCGACATCATCGTACACGCGGCACCGCCATGGTACGGGCCGGTTGCCGACGACGTCGGGTGAGTAGCGGCGGAGATCGTCATCTGTGGTGCGTTGAAAGGCTGGCGTGCGGAGCTATTGATCGAGGTGCCGGTGTGAGTGTGTGGCGTTTCGGAGAAGTTTGATGCAGTACGTCGGGACAGATCTGACGGTACATGTGTCATAATCAATCCAGGCATTTCGTTAGGAGTCGCCGGAAAACGATCGGTCCTGCAGTAAACGGAAATATGAAACATAATCCTAAACTATTTCTCAATAAAAACACCTCCAGCTGAGAGTGATAATCGAGCATCAACTTCATACAACCGCCTGGGGTTAACTGCACTGCAGTCGGGCAGCCCGAATCACTTTCGGCTATCACAAACTTACTCAGTGTTGGTTATTTTTAATGACTCAATCACTATCAGATTCTTTCATTACTAATCGTCAAACAAATGTCTCTGCCATAGTGGAAAGTTTAGTGGATTATCACTATCAGTGAGACAACGCAATGCGTGATTCAAGTTGTGAGTCAAGCCCATGCAGTCTCGTCACCATCTTCACTTCACAAACAAACGCCGATTGTGTATCTCTTCCTCTATAGATGTGGACCTCTGGACTACAACGCTAAACGAAAAGCTTCTACCATTACAGCCTAGATACCAACTGATGACGTCATGAGCACATCATCGCCACCCACACCCCACTCTCCCACCTAGAACTGTTTAATCCGTGTTGGATATCCTACGACATTCCGAACGAGAAAGTTAACGCAGGGCGCTCATCCAATCGGACATGCAACATTAAAGCAATAATCGTCACGCCTCGCAATAATTCATTGCGAGTTCGAGAGCCTCTTGGCGATTGGCCAAAAGAATGATAGAAGGGACTCCACATGCGCAATGACATGGCTGGTGGGCCGCCATGCACAAGTGAAAGTGGGTTAAATAGGAAAATATGAAACATTTAGAAAGAGAGAGAGAGAGAGAGAGAGATGGAATAAGAGATGATGAGTGTGTAGGCAGTTATATGTGACTAGTGTGTAGGTTTGGGAGAAAAAGAAACGCAGCATTTTTTTAAAGAGAGGTGGAAAAGCTGTGTAAACTTTAAGAGGCCGCCAAGTTCACATACCTGTGGTTAAACTTTAAGAAATCTGAGAAGATTTGGTGAACGCCTATGAAGATTGCGAAACCCAAGCAAAGAATTCTACCTTCTATTTCTTTAATTTAGTCCTGTCCCCTACTTTGACGAAATCACTCCCAATAATTTATCTAATTTCATTGAATTATCTTCTCTTGAAGAGTCTTTAGAATCTCAACCGTGAGTACTATCTAAAATGTGTTTGAGAACATTTATAGCGAAAATATGGAGTCATGCAACTCGACAGATGCATACAATGCGCAAACCTTGGCTATGATTGTTATGATTATCATTATGAATCTGAACATGTAGGATGCATACTTCTTGTATCATATTCCATTAAAGAATCTTTAAGACACCGGATATTATTTTACTGGTCTTAGGTAGGACTGTCTATGTTATCAAGCACAACTAGAATGTTCGTCATTCTTGTGTCATATTTCGGATATCCTCATTAGGATTTTCAGACATTATACGTCAATTTCATCACAATGATGTACTCAACTTACATCCAAGTCAAACTCATGTAATGATACTGCAATAAATACCTTTTCAATTTGAAATACTTAGTATAACTTTTGCAACGCCCCACGAAATAAGCTTTTATCTCTAAGTTATATACTCCCCAAAATTGAATGTATACCAATTCAACAGGTATTTGTCATAAACATGACAAACTCAAACATGATTTTTGATGTTCAAGTGACTAGAGACACTTTTGATTGTAATAGTGTAGGCTAAATTGCAGAAAAACTAAACGTATGTATACTCGTATTATATCATGGTGGGGTTTGAATATGTAGCATTTCATTTCACAAATATCTAACATTAATATTTGTGTATACAGTTTCAACTAAAAAAGTTTGCATATCATTAAATGCTCCTGATTAGAATAAGTATAGAAATGTATTGTAACTAAAGAACAATAAATTGTTATTGTATGACCTAGAAAACATAGTCACAACAGTCAAGTGCTTTAAACGGCAGTGGTATGAGAACATATACACCTGTATTACAACTTAATTCTATATGAGATAAATGGTGACATACATAAAATCATTAATATAAAAGAGCATGATGAATATGACGAGGTTTCGAACAAAGCTTCATAATTCAAGATACATCACGCAAACATAGTTTGTTATCAGCAGATGTTTGGTGGCACAAATGACATTTCCTTTGAAGTCGAACCAACCGAACATGACGTGCATTCTTCAGGGAAACCGTTTGTTCTAGGAAATAGACAAAGACACTACACATAAAGACGAGAAACATAGCAAACTTCTCAAAATGGCGGTCCTTGTGGTTGTGGTTTGCACGTACCTCGTTGTGTTGTATTCCTGCATTTTGCCTCACAGTCACACAGCAAGGGACAAAATACTGTCGTTCTGTCAAGCCACCAAAGCCACCGCGCCTTCCAACCAGGAAAGAAAGTCGTGGATCGAACGGCGCTTTAAAACTCCAAAGAAGGTACACCAGTGAACTGAAGAAATACATCCATCTTGCTCCAAGTTCACATTATTGGTTGGGAAATTAGAAATTAGTAGGATAATATGCCCGAGTAAGGAAATATCTGAGACAAGATTGTGTTTTTGTTGCTGTTCGAGAGTGAACGTCGGAAAAGCAGACGATGTGAACCAAGTTGCCGAGTGGTGACGAAAAGTCTCGAAGGCCGCCGATCTTTACCAATCGCTCATGTTTGGTCAACGAAGAGTCGCCTTTCACTTCGGGGAACCCTCACTATAATTTCAAATATCTAAGTATGAGAAATAGTTTTCATCATGTCACAAATTGTTCGTCAACGAATGTTATTCCATGAGACGACATCGCCGTTTATAATTAGCCCGCTCACAAATTGTTGACGCTCGTTCACTAACAGAAAATCAAGTGCATGAAATATCTTTTGTCCAGAAGAGAAGGTGGCCATATCGTTCATTTCGTTCATCTAAATTGGTCAAACATCTAACGTCGGTAAGTCCAATGTCGGTCCAAGTCCAAGTATTCATCCACTCGCCGAAGGAGCCATGAAAATTATTCGGCGCTCATCGAATCACGTGATCACTCAGTGAACAGCGCTAACAAGGGCTGGACCCAAAGGGCTCCATTTTGAATTCAATATATGAAATGAAAGTGATTAATTCTGAAGCTTTGTTTGAAATATTGAATCGGCAATGCCAATCATATCCAAAGTCAAATAATTGATGAAGACAAGTTGAACTGTTTTATCGCTCGACGGCTAAAGTAACAATCTGCTTGGTTGACGAGAAAGGCGAACAAATTTGTCGTCGCTCAATTCATGTCCTAGTTCGCGATTGTCAGCTCTAAAATCCTACATTCCGCTTGATTCAAAGAAGTAGAGACCACATGAACACCAAGTCAAGGAAGAAGAGAGGAGAACTATACACGTGTTAGCAGTCCGACGACTGATGAATCACTGAAAAACCAACCATCTGCTTTGTCATGTTCGAGATGACCAAAATCCAAGATGGCCGCTCAATTACGGCGATGACGAATCGGCCGCGAAATCGAAAGAATCACGAGTGTTCATGGCTGCAAAATGCTTCTTTATTCTGCTGGGTGGTGGACAAAAAAATGATTCTCTTTGTTTGATTGGGCTCGAGATTCAAACTTGAAACAGAAAGTGTGTTTGCTAAGATCTCTACCAGTCATGATATATTTGTTTTGTTTCCTTTTCGGGTCCTTATGCCCATGTATGGAACTCAATAGGACAAGGGTGTACTTTCTTTTGTTTTGTTTATGACCATATACATACATATATTACAATATTTCAATTTCACTGCATTACGTAGTAATGTAATTATGTAATAACCAGATCATCACTTTCCAATACTTGGATGGAACCCAGTATGCATAAATATCTCTAACCACTACTATGGTATAGTGATAGCTGGGAGGTTACTACGCAAATGCCATGTTCTCATTTAAATGAACCCACATTTCTGTATTGAACTAAATGAAAGTGCCAAATACCTTGCATACCAAGCATACTTGTAAATATAAGAGTGAATCTAAGAATGTCCCCCTATCTATAAACTTGCATAATTACATTTGCCTTGAACGCGCTTATACAAAATGGACTGAGAGCCCCCATATACCTTACATGAATAATTATTATCTATAGCTTATTCAATTGCGGCGGGTTTGAAATCAGTTTGCCTTTTGACAAGGGTGCAGTATTACCAAGGAGTCTTTTCTTCTCTTTGCCTCATCAGAGGATTTATCAGGTATACATCGTTAACATTCAAAGATACAATGATACAAATCTAACTTACATAATCACAAAAGCATAAGAAAGAATCGAAGCCAATGAGTTATTATTATTATTATGGCTAGTAACACCTTGGTATTACTAATCACAAAGGATAACTTTGAGTTGATTGCGTAAAAAAAGTGGGAACAAAAATTATTAGCAATTGTTGCAAACAAATATATTACATAATAATTTGAAACTTACAAGTTCATTTGTGACGTCAGCATTCCATCCCCTGGCTGATAGTTATATAACATATCAAAATTATTACAAAGGTCCATGATCCAATATGAATTCAAATCGAATCAAAACTGTTTTATTTCAAACAAAATTGTGTAAGATCCCAGGACTAACAATCAATAAATTCCACCAGGTCCTTGCAAGAGCCGCAAAATCTCGCCATCAACTTTCACTGGTATGTAACTAAAATTATTTCCATCCATATTTATACTGAAATAATTAGGTATGCATTATCACCAGTCGTCATTACATCGTGACGTTCCAATGACCCGGATGGAGCAGAAATCGGCACAATCTTTTTTTGTTTTTGTTGTAATGTTGTTGTTGAGAATGTTTTCTCCTCGTGATGTGAGTGAAAAACATGGGAAAAGCTGACAAAATTTCCACAGGTTGATTAAAAGTGCACTCCTTTCATTTTCGAGGGTTTTATTTCACCTTCTTTGGGGAAATACCGGGTAATCTTTATGGAAAGTTGTTGATTTTCTGTTAGACACCCACGCATTTTGCTTGTCTCATGATTTACAACAAAAACAATAATTCATACCGAATCGACCATTTGTAGCCCGTACTTGGTCACATGGCTTGGGAAGTTGCTTGGTCTCTAAAATTAATAAAGTATAAGTTAATAAAAATTGAACATATCAATGTGTTTTATCAATTCGTTCTTGTTCTCACGAAGTGACGGTAGTGAGGAAAATCCACACGCAAATTTATGCGATTTTCATTCACTACCGTCACTTCGTGAAAATAGGGACGAATTACTGCAAATTTCATCTTGGATAGTGGGGAAAACAGAAGTCATTATCAAGAACTACAAAACTTACACTTTGATTCAGTGGGAAAACTGTCCAGGCCGATTTGAACGTTCGCAAGTATTTGAATTTTTACGAGTGAATTAAGTTGCCTCTTAAATTTGTAGAAGGACAATTACATACGTACAGCAATCAACTTTAAGTAATATTTCGTTGAAAACCGTTACGCATGTAACCTTTGCGATAAGTATGAGTATAATTCCATTCCGATTGCACTTTTATCGATTTGAATTATTCTGCCAATCCAAAATTCATAAAAATGATGGTTGTTTTCATGGTGCCATTTCAAATTAACAATTTATCTATGCGCCTCACAAACCCAATTTATCATCTAAAAACTAGAAGATTAAATCTTCATTAAAAGGGCCGAGAAGTAACCACTTTTTAATACAACAATGTGAACATGCTGGATCCAATACTAAAGAGGTTGAATCTGACATGTAAAAGTGTTAATCTGCCATTTTGAAAAATTGGTCTCTCTTCCTTTTAGCTTTTAGCATAGTAAACACAA